GGTCTGTCATTGAATGGCCAGACAGGTTAAAGTGTTGTCCCACTGGTTTTTGAGTATTATGATTCCTGATGTCAGATTTGTGTCCATTAATTCTTTTGCGGAGAGAGTGTCCGGTTTGGCCAATGTACATGGCAGAGGGGCATTGCTGGCACATGATGGCATATATCACATTGGTAGATGTGCAGGTGAACGAGCCACTGATGGTATGGATGATGTGATTAGGTCCTATGATGATGTCACTTGAATAGATATGTGGACAGAGTTGGCATCGGGCTTTGTTACAAGGATAGGTTCCTGGGTCAGTGTTTTTGTTCAGTGATGTGTGGTTGCTGGTGAGTATTTGCCTTAGGTTGGGGGGCTTCTGTAAGCGAGGACAGGTCTGTCTCCCAAGATCTGTGAGAGTAAAGGATCATCTTTCAGGATAGGTTGTAGATCTCTGATGATGCGCTGGAGAGGTTTTAGTTGGGGGCTGAAGGTGACAGCTAATGGTGTTCTGTTATTTTCTTTGTTGGGCCTGTCTTCTGGAGGTGACTTCTGGGTACTCATCTGGCTCTGTCAATCTGTTTTTTCACTTCAGCAGGTGGGTATTGTAGTTTTAAGAATGCTTGATAGAGATCTTGTAGGTGCTTGTCTCTATCTGAAGGATTGGAGCAAATGCGGTTATATCTTAGAGCTTGGCTGTAGACAATGGATCATGTGGTGTGTCCTGGATGGAAGTTGGAGGCATGTAGGTAAGTGTAGCGGTCAGTAGGTTTCCGGTATAGGGTGGTATTTATGTGACCATCGCTTATTAGCATAGTAGTGTCCAGGAAATGGACCGCTTGTGTGGATTGATCTAGGCTGAGGTTGATGGTGGGATGGAAATTATTGAAATCATGGCGGAATTCCTCAAGGGCTTCTTTTCCATGGGTCCAGATGATGAAGATGTCATCAATGTAGCGCAAGTAGAGTAGGGGCGTTAGGGGACGAGAGCTAAGGAAGCGTTGTTCTAAGTCAGCCATAAAAATGTTGGCATACTGTGGGGCCATACGGGTACCCATAGCAGTGCCGCTGACTTGAAGGTATATATTGTCCCCAAATGTGAAATAGTTGTGGGTGAGGACAAAGTCACAAAGTTCAGCCACCAGGTTAGCTGTGACATTATCGGGGATACTGTTCCTGATAGCTTGTAGTCCATCTGTGTGTGGAATATTGGTGTAGAGGGCTTCTACATCCATAGTGTCCAGGATGGTGTTTTCTGGAAGATCACCAATGGATTATAGTTTCCTCAGGAAGTCAGTGGTGTCTCGAAGACAGCTGGGAGTGCTGGTAGTGTAGGGTCTGAGGAGAGAGTCCACATAACCAGACAAGCCTGATGTTAGGGTGCCAATGCCTGAGATGATGGGGCGTCCAGGATTTCCAGGTTTTCGATGCTTGTCATCTGGGCTCTCTCAAGGACCTCGAGATTGGGCACTTTGTCTTGCCAGTGGATATTCATGATGTTGCGGAGGCAGCGCATGTGAAATGCTTCGAGCTGCCTGATGTGACGCCTATACAGTTTCCATGTTTCGCACCCGTACAAAAGAGATAGAAGAACAACAGCTCTGTACACAAGCAGTTTTGTTGACATCCGGATGTTGTGGTGATTTAAAACTTTGACACGCAGACATTCAAGTGCCTGGCTTGCTTTGGATATTCGTGTGTTGATCTCATTATCCAGTGATCCATCACTGGATATGACACTACCCAGGTATTTAAAGTATATCTTTAAATATATCTGAAATCTGTATAAGAGTGGGTAAAAGCACACAACAGACCGGATTTCACAGGAGGAGACCAGATTTCACAGCCATGAATTTGGTAGGGCCCCAGCCATCAGAAATACCAGCAGCCTAAACTAATTCAATCCCCCCCCCAGGTCTCCAGTGGCCCCCCCAGTCTGCGCGGGTTCACTCCCTAGGAAGACTCGGACCCTCGGGCCCTGCGCTCAACCCGCCAGGGGGCCGGGCAAGGCGAGGGCGGCCAGGGGAGGAGGCTGAAACTAACGGCGCCGCAGCCCATCACCGCGCGGCAGGGCGGGGCCGAAGAGGGACGCGGGGCCTTTTAACCCACCGGCCTGCTCGGATGGCGGCCCAGGTGCTGCCCCCGGGGGCCGGCTCGAACCACAGCCCCGGTCACCGAGTAGCTCGGCGGCAGAGCCGAGGGCAATGAGAGCCGGACTCCAGCTCCTGGGGCGTGCGGCCGCGGCCTTCCCGTGCCTCAGTTTCCCCGCTGGGCAGCGGCGGCACATCCCCGGTCGCAGCGCGGGGTCCCGCTGGGGGCAGGCGCCCGGCCAGGCCTCGCCCCGCCCACTCACCGAGCAGAGCTCCAGCTCCAGGGCGCAGACCAGCGCCTTCCGCGGCATTGGGGGGCCGGGCCGGGCGGGGGGGCTGCCCGGGGCCCTGGCCGGAGGGGAAAGGGCGGCTCCGGGCCCGCACAGGATGCGCCGCGCCGCTAGCTCGGCCCCGCCCGCAAGGAACGACGCCGTTGTCGTGGCAACCGGAACGTTTCCGGACGCTACCATGTGACCCGGGGCGGGGCTAATGGAATGACGTTAGCGCCATGGGCAGGGTCAGACCGAGCAAAGCCCTCGGCGGCTATGCGCATGCGCGATAGGCGGAGCCCAGTGGCACTAGCGCTCGGGGGGCGGAGCTCTGTGGTGGTGTCTACGCTGTGCTCACAGCGTCTCTCCAACCCCTCCCGCACCGTGCCCCCAGCTGCAGGCGCCACTGGTGGGACCCCTCCATGCACCCTCGCATCGCTCCGCAGCTGTGAGCCCCTCCCACACTGCCCCTCCTCTGCACTCCCGGATCCTGCACAGCCCCTCACCCCCCTGCACCTCACTGCTGCAATCCCCATCCAGCACCCACACAGCGCCCCAACACCCTGCACTTCCCGCCCCTCCCAACCCTGCACCCCACCACTGTGATTCCCCACCCTGCAGCACCCCACTGCCCACACACCACCACTCTCCTCCAGTCCACACACAACTCCTCACCCCCCCTGCACCTTACTGCTGCTATCCACAACCTGCGCCCCAACCTCACTTCCCACAAACCGCCTTTCCCAACCCTGCACCCCACTGCTGTGATCCCTGCCCTGCAGCACCCCACTGCCCACAAACCGCCCCTCCCAACCCTGCACCCCACTGCTGTGATCCCCACCCTACAGCACCCCACTGCCCACACACCACCACTCTCCTCCAGTCCACACACAACCCCTCACCCCCCCTGCACCTTACTGCTGCTATCCGCAACCTGCACCCACACAGCACCCCAACCTGCTTGCACCTCCCTGCCCACCAACTGTCCCTCCAAACCCTGCAGCACCCCACTGCCCACACACCACCCCTCTCCCCACTGTTCACATACGGCCCTGCATCTCACTGCTGCAATTCCCATCCTGCACCCATACACCGCCCCAACCCTGTCTCAGCCTGTAAAGTCCCCACTCCCGCACCCTACGGGGATCTGAGTCCTACTGCAGAAGCAATTTTCCTCCCCATCCTGTTTAACTGGAGGGATGAGAGCCCTTTGGATCTTTCAGTCATGATCTGGTCCAATGACTGCTCTGCACTATAGACCCAAGCAGCTCTGATAGATAGGCTTTTAGGGAAGGAAACCCCTCTATCAGCACAAACATTTACTGATTAGCAACACTGGTGACCAGAGGTACAAGAAACACATGCTAGTTTCAAGGATTCGGGGTTTAAAAGGATATAAGCTTTCCCCTAGTATGGAAGTGCCTCTTCAACTCTGAATTCCTTTGCTTCTGCAGGCATAAATCTTCTCTTAGCATTATTTCCGCTCAGTTTTATGGAGGTGAATAAAGATCTCTCGGTGGCTGCCTTGCATAATATTAATTTTTTGCACTCAGCTCCATCTAAATGATACGATCAAGAACCCAGTGCACCTTCTGCTGCTGCTCCCCCTATTTGCGCAATGTACAGAGAAAGTGAAAATCCTGGCAACAGGGAAGTAAATGGAAAAATTCCTCCTCCTAATTCTGCTTTCACTTCTACCAGTGAGAATCGGAGTAACCGCTAAAAGAATTGGAGTTACACCAGTACCAGACAAACATGAGGAGAATCATGACCCTATTTTCTTCAGTGGGAGTAGGATCAGGCTTTAGATCTGTTGCGGCAGGACATTTTCTAGACTATTCACTGAGTCCTGCTGATGGGGGTTCAGGGATCCAGAAATGTGGAGCAGGGAAGAAATCACATACATAAAGCAGTAGATGATATTGTGGTGATCAAAGTCTTGGAAGTACCCTGGATTAGAGAGAGGCAGAGTAGATAGTTTAGATCAGAGAGCAATTGTGCCTTGATCCAATTATTTTCCATTTCGTTTAATTTGTCTCTACCTTTAAAGCCTCCGTATTGACAGAGCAGCATAAAAGAGCCTTAACTTAACTAAGAGTTGGGCCTCTTTTCTCTTGAGATTTCATCACTGAGAGTAATTGCCCTAACAATAATTGTGGCAAGTTCAATGAAAACATCTGCTCTATGTGCAGACCTGGAGGAGGGCAACAAAAAAATTGCTAGGCATGGAAAGATTTCCATATGAAAAGAAACAAAAGTTTAGGACTCATTTTATAGAGGGTAAGAATACAAGGTAATATGAAAATCAAAAGGCAACCTGTTCAAAAATTCTAAAAGAAAGTGCTTTATAAAGACATAATTAATCCGTGGAACTCACTGCTACAAAAAATTAGTGAAGCAAAGATCTTCAGAGGATTTGGAAAGCTAGATATTTATATGAACAATAGAAATACCTGCAGCTGGGGCAGTGATTGTCTTTGTTCTGTGTTAATACAACACCTAGCACAGTGGGATCCTGCGCCACGACTAGTGGACCTAAGCACAAATGCAATGCCAATAAATAAATTATAATACATAAAGGGATGTGCTCTGCTACAAGACCAGACTTAGGGTTAGTAAGAAACTTCTCCCATAGGCATCTTATTGCATAGTTGTTGGGGTTTAATATTTGCCTCAGAAATTTCTGAAACCGACCACTGTGTGAGAGAGGATACTGAACTCGATGGACCTATTGTCTGATCTACTAGGACAATACCTGTGTTCACATCTCACTCTTATCTCTAGATTAATTACTGGGATAACGGTACCTTGCACAGTGCAGTCATATGGCAAGATTTTGATTTGTACAAGGGAGCTCCCAGAAAAAGCTAATGTTAAACGATCTCTGCAGGTGGTGGGGTAAAGCAGAGAGAATTTTGTAATGCAAGAGATTCTCATGGGATCTTTGAGGAGCAAAGTAAAGTAACGCAAAGTAAATTGTGTTACCACAGACACATATGCCAGGGAAGATAGAATGATAGGCTATAGATGAAAATCTATAATGCCCATAAAATCATTATGGGCAAAAGTCCCCGTGGACTTTGTCACTCTCTCCAGTCTATATCAAGCATGAGCCTCTGCTCTCTGTTCCTCTCCAATCTCACCACGCTCTGTTAAAGAGAGCTTTCTCGTTCCACCTGGAACAAGCCTGACTACGGGTATGTCTACACTATTGGCCGGATTGGTGGGCAGTGATTGATCCAGCGGGAATCGATTTATCGCGTCTAGTCTAGATACGATAAATCAACCCCCTAGCGCTCTCCTGTCGACTCCTGTACTCCATCTCCGCGAGAGGTGCAGGTGGAGTCGACGGGGGAGTGGCAGCAGTTGACTCATGTGGTGTTTAGATGCTGCTTGTATTATTAGAACTGGGAGCACTGGCTGTTGGGATCTGAAAGGACAGGAAACAGGAAGGAGGGGGAAGGAGTTGAGGAGGCTGAGTGAGAGTTACAGAGGGTGCCGCTGCAGCTTGGTAAAGCGGTTTCCACTGTAAAAATAAAGTCCTGCTGAAGCTTGTTAGTACCTTGCCTGGTTGATACAACAACTCACCGCAGTGAAGACACCACGGTAAGTCGATCTAAGTACGTTGACTTCAGCTACGTTATTCATGTAGCTGAAGTGGCGTAACTTAGATCGATCCCGCCCCCAGTGTAGACCAGGCCTCAATCTCGATGTTGTTTCTTGCTTTTTACAGCCTCTCTTTCAGTTCTGATCGGGGGAAGTGATCTCTATTCTGCTACTAAGCAGATAGTGACTTTGGCTGAAGTGAATCTCAAGCTTTGACTTTTGAAGTAAATTGTGACTGAAGTAAAGCCAAGGTTATATTTTCACGGAGGGACAACATATCTCGATAGTCAGCCTAAGCATTGATACCTACATTCTGCGTGTCTTCAACAATCTCATTATTACAGTGACGTTTCAGAGTGTAAACAGTTTCTCCATTGAAATGAACAGTCTAAGAGAGGAGAAGAAATGGATGGATCTATTTTAACGTGCTTTCATTACATAACATTTATTCCAGATCTCAGTGTTATTGGCTTTGGCTGAAGTAAACTATAGAAAATTACTCAATCATTTTTCACTCAGTCACAAACCAAGGACTGTTTTATGAAGTTCACATACCCATAGTCATCATTTAGGCCCTGGTTCTGGAAAACAACCCTTACTTAGATCATCACTTAACGGGGATATGATAGAGATCTATAAAATCATGAATGGTGTGGAGAAAGTGAAAAGAGAAGTGTTATTTACCCATTCATATAAACACAAGAACCAGGGGTCACCCAATGAAATTAATAGGCAGCAGGTTTAGAACAAACATAAGGAAGTATTTCCTCACACCACACGCAGTCAACATGTGGAACTTGTCAGAGGATGTCGTGAAGGCCAAAAGTATAACTGGGTTAAAGAAAGAATTAAATACATTTTAGCCAAGATTATGAGGGACACAACCTCATGCTCTCGTTGTCCCTATACCTCAGACTGCCAGAAGCTGGAACTGGGTGGTAGGGGATGGATTACACCCTCTGAAGCATCTAGTTCTGGTCACTGTCAGAAGACAGGGCTAGATGGACCACTGGTCTGACGCAGCATGGTCATTCTTATGTAAGATATAACAGACACAGTTCAAAACAATCATCAGGTGCCCAAAATAAAGCCCATCACCACAACACAAACATTTCTATTTAGCTCTAGCATCTTCTATTCAATCACAGCGCTTCTTCCATCCCAGTCTCTTCTCACAGCCGCTCCTCCTAGTTGAAACTTGTTGACCTTATTGAGATTACAGGAAAAAAACATCCTGATGTGTAGAAAGAATAGTAAATATGGCAGGTGACCAGCTTGGCTTAACAGTGAAATCCTTGCTGATCTTAAACGCAAAAAAGAAGCTTACAAGAAGTGGAAGATTGGACAAATGACCAGGGAGGAGTATAAAAATATTGCTCAGGCATGCAGGAGTGAAATCAGGAAGGCCAAATTGCACTTGGAGTTGCAGCTAACAAGAGATGTTAAGAGTAACAAGAAGGGTTTCTTCAGGTATGTTAGCAACAAGAAGAAAGTCAAGGAAAGTGTGGGCCCCTTACTCAATGAGGGAGGCAACCTAGTGACAGAGGATGTGGAAAAAGCTAATGTACTCAATGCTTTTTTTGCCTGTGTCT